AACCCCATATCCCCACTCACCCAAGACTTCCGGCGCCCGGCGCTTGTGCCTCCCGCCCCGCTTACTTGTCGCCCTGCTTGAGGCCTCTGGGAGGACGGGCCTGGCGGTTTGGTAGGACCTCCGCTCGCCCCACTCACAGTTTCTGTGGACTCCAGCGAGGCTTTGATAGCCAAGCGCAGAGACATCTCGCTCTACGGAAATGCAACGAGGAGGAGGGGGGAGGAGGGAGGGAGGGATGAGGGTGATTTATTGAAAAATCTGCCTGGAGTACATTTCAGGCGGCCGTTGCCTCATTCAGAGCCAAATTGTCGCATGGTGCATGTGTAGACATCTAATGCATCTGATGCTGCGACAGAAGCTCCCGTGGGAAGGGTGCCTAAGGTCGAACAGCCTGTCACGGCACATCGAAAGGGGGGCGGCCGCTGTGCTCACACAGGCGGGCCCGTGACAGTCCTCCGTGCTGTAAGAGTCGTGGCACGAAAATCCTGGCTTAAGTAGCATCACACTCTACATCCTTATGTTCCACTGCGAGCATTGGTTGCCCAGTAGTTATTCTGACGGATCCATTGGCCGTGATTATGCGACTAAACGTGTGCGCCCGGGCGGGCCACGGCCGACACCGGCTTAGAAGCCGTCACCTCCCTCTTTAAGAGACAAGACCAGCACAAAACGCCCACGGGCATGGCATCACATGGACCATACGACTGGGAAGATAAACGAAGGAAACGGAATTGGTACAGTGCGCGTGGCATGCCGGAGGAAGAAATCACATGATAATTACGACGGCTGTATCATTACCGGCACGGCGCGAACGGCCTGTGCCCGGTCGTGTGAGATTTTGTTCCATTATTGAGCCCCTGAAGACACCAAGCGCGCCCGCAAGCACGCATGTTCTATCGTATGCACGGTTCTCAGGTTCAGTGAATGGAGGCTAAGGACCAGCACGTGGAGAGTTAATGCCTTCAGTATCACAATCCACGGCGCTTAGTTCGAGTTTCGGAAGAAGAAAGAAGGAAGCATTATGAAAGAGGCTGTTCCTGTGCCTTACATGCGCAACAGGTCATTAAATGTGCAAATGTAACCATGACTGTTCTCATGCAAATACTGAGCTTTTTGGAAGGGACGCATGATTTTTCCATGTCGGAGCATGGAGAGATGGTGCATTATTCCTTTCCTTTCCACGCGCCCCCCCTCCCCCGGACAGACTAGCCGGCTCTCTTTCTCCTTGGGAGTGAATGGGACATTTTCTCACGTGCATCTTGTTTTGATGCCATTCTTAGAATATACACTTACAGTCGTGGTCCCCCTTTTCTCTTCTCTTTGCTTCAGATGGCCTCAAGTGCCCCGCCCTCTGGCGGCACGGCCCCCTCTCCCATCGCCTCTGTGAAGGAATGGTACCACAATTGGTGCGCCTCCACACCCTTCATCACACGCAGCACTCTTCATCTCCTCCTTGCCCTCTATGCACTCTCATGGGTCGTGGATCTGACGGCATACCTGGCCAACATCCCGTACATGAGCATCTACAAGCTGCAGCTCTGGCGGCCTTTCCTCTCTCCCTTTTACACCGAGGGCTTGCTCTCTGTGTTGTTTCTCTGCTTGTCCCTGGGAGGGATGGCCACCACGCTCGAGCAGGTGGGCAGGAGATGGGGTTGAGGGCATGCCTGGGAGGGCCTAAGAAGAGGCAGAAATGCGGCGATCTTGTCACTATTGCTCAGTCTTACTTGATAGACTCACATTTGGTCCGTTTTTCCTGCATTTCTTCCTTTTCCCCGCCATATTTTCGCTTCCCAGGCCAAGGGCAGTACCTCTTTCCTGTGTCTGATGGCGGCCATCTCCTTCCTCACAAACTTCCTCTTCCTCCTGATCTGTCTCCTCCTCTCCGTGCTTCAGCCCTCAGCGCTTTACCTCTCGGCAGGATCTTTCTGGATCGTCGTTCTTGGCCTTCTGACAGGTGTATATACCGCGAGGGAGCAAGGCAGGGAGCGAGATGGGGGTTACTAGAGGGTACTAGAGGGTCTGTCGAAGGGAAAGAGCTAGGCGGAAGGGCCGGGGGAGGTTTTCGGGCATGACGAGGACTTCTATTTCTTAGTCACTCCTATAGACCGAATTCAAGGATCTAGCAAGCTGTGTGTGCAACATTGATCCAACCCTTCCTCCCCCCCTCCCCCTTTTTTCCTTTCCCCTCTCCCAGTCGACTGCCTCGCCTCCAACCTCCCTACCCGGCAGCTCTTCGGCCTGCCCTGTCAGATCCCCTCCCTCTACTTCCCCCTCCTCCTCTTCCTTCTGTTCTCCCTCTTCGCGGGCCCCCGCCTCGACCTGGGTCTCGCCGTGGGAGTAGGCTACCTGGTAGGATGGGGCTACCTGGACGTGTTGCTTCCTCCCCTTGCCTGTCTGACCCGATGGGAAGAGGGGCGAATTGGCTCGTGGCTGGGGTCGAGGACGGGGTTTGTGTCTGCGGCAGCAGCGAGGGGGGCGGAGGCGTGGTTGCCAACAGTGGTGGGCGAGGG